TTCTGTAAAGGATACGTGGCAGACGATGAGTGTGACTGCCAAAAGTATGTACCCGACGATGGTCGTGATCAGCCCTTCAAAATGAGATGCCTGCACCTGAAATAAGAAACGCACACAAGGCTTCATCTCTCCGCACGGCCCCCTCCGTGGCAGCAACGTAGTAAGGAAGCCACGATGGGCGAGAGGGAGCCACTGCGGCCGCTGATAACCAGGAACAACGCCAGCATTCCTGGGGACAGCCCCTGCCTAACTGCGACACGCCACTAAGGACAATGAAAAGCTGGGAACAACACTGCCCCAGAGACCGCGAGTTACACGTTACAGAGACGAGGACAGAGCGGAACACCGGGGCACTCCCCACACCCACGCCAACCCTGGAGTGGGACAAGGGGCACAGTGACGAAAGCCACCCATGGACCCTTCTGGTTCCTCAGAGTCACAAAGCATGTGGCAATGGTTTGAAGAGGCAAACTTATCAAGACACATGTCCCCACCCCTCAATTTCCTGTCCCCAAACGTGAGAATTCAGACTACCATGCCCAAGCTGAGAGCTTGGCCGTCTTTCAAATTCTGACATCTGCACACTTTCAAGGTTCATGTATGTGAATCAAGGTGAAGACCCCTGATATGTCATCTCTTCCTTAAAGACCATCTTTCTAGGCCCCCAAAAGTGGAAGCGGTAGCAGAAATTCGTGCAAAACATGTGTCTCCAAAAAACACTGATAAAAATACAATGTCCAAGTTAAAGTAGATGGCTAAGTACGACAGGCGCCATCCCAGAGAGTCCTGCTACGTTTCCAAAGCCTCTGTGCATCAGGGGCCAGGGCGGGAGGGATGCCAGGCTACTGGCCAGAGGGCAGCTCTGGAAGGAGACATCCCATCAGACACCCAACAGGGAGGCAGGCGACGTGATACCTCACACAACGCCTTTGTCAGGCAGCAACATGACCTGCTAATGCTAGTGTGGCTGGTACTTGCAGAGGTAAGCAAGGCATGGTGGGTAACTACTCCATGGACATGGGCAGACTGAGGAGTGAAGTGACTGTTTGGTGCATCATCACCCAGCACATGTCAAATCAGGAGTCATTCATGAAAGTATACTCACGTGTTCTTCAAATCCCAAACCAACAAGGGAGAAATGGCCAATGTGGTAAGGGCAGAAGGCTGAAAGGGAACAGGACGCAATGAAAACCTAACACCAGAAGCATCCCAACCCACCGGCGACTGCAAAGAGTCAGGGCTTCCTGGAGCACGTCAGAGTCCAGGAACGGGACGTGCTCTGTGAGCAGAGGACAGCTCTAGCGGGATCCAGTCCGAGTCCAGGAGAGGAATGTGCTTCGTAAGCGGAGAACATCTGATGGGATGCTATCACAGGGCCACAGCAGCCACTGTGCAGAGGGTCCCACAGACAGGGGGAACTGTATGAGCCGCGAAGGCACCGGGAGAGCACTGTTGGGGACACTGACCATGGCACAACCAGGAGCTCATCTTACAACACAGACCCCAAACCTCCACCCACGTGGGGACAAGCACCGTAACAGACCACTTGCCACCATGCAAACAGCTGCTACACTAACTTCTGCTCTGAAAACTGACAGCTGAAGCTACAGGGCCGAGCCCTCGACACACGACTGAAGGCTGCCACGTGGCTCAGCTGACAAGAGTGTTTCTTACAGAAGACAGCCAGCCAATAGTAAGTGCATACAGGACCGGAGGAGACGACTGCCACCATCAGCACCAAATTAAGATCAGCGACTCCAGCAAGGAGTACCCCGCAGCAGAAAGCCACCCTGTGAAAGGTGGACAGAGCCCTGCTCACCTACAGGGTCCTCCAGCGCCACTGCCCTCAGGCGATTCTCTCTAAGTGGGCGGCGGAGGCTCAGGCTAGTGAGGGTGGTGACCGCACACAGCCCTCCTGCACAGAACAGGCAGAGAGGACCAGGTGGCCCAGGAGGAACTGGGTCCCAAGTGCAGCGAGCCTGGGGCGAACCAGGGCCTCACACCCGACTTGCAATTATAGAAAGCA